ATGGAGAGCGGACGCCGCGGCCTATGGGCCCGCCGAGGAAGGGGGCCAGGCCCACTCCCCCTCATCCCTGCCACCTTGCTCCATCCTCCTTCCTTCCCTCCAGTGGAATGAAAATGAAAGGGGCCCCAGGACCCACACACATAAATACGCACGAACAAAAGGATTCCCCATATGTTCCCATAGTTTCTGGGTTTCGGTCTTCCCCCCCACTTCCCATATTTTCCCATATTTGCTGGGGAGTCGACGATTCATTGTGTCTGTGTTTTTTCCCTCCTGAGAAGAGGCGCCAAGAAATGTGGGGAGATCTCGTGGCCCTGGCCACGATATCCCCCCACCAGTCATCACCCCTCTCTTCCTGCTCCCCCTCCTCCTCCCCCCTCCCCCCCCCTCCCCTCCCCCTCCTCCTCCTCTCCTCCTCCTCCTCCTCCTCTCCTCCTCCTCCTCCTCCTCCTCCTCGACCTGCATCTGCTCCTCCTCCTCCTCCTCCTCCGCCTCCTCCTCCTCCTCCTCCTCCTCCTCCTCCCCCTCCCCCTCCCCCTCCTCCTCCCCCTCCTCCTCCTCCTCCTCCTCCTCCTCCTCCTCCTCCCCCGCGGCCCCCGGGTTCACCAGTGCGGTGGCGGGCCCTCGCTGCCACCCGCCCGATCTCAGAGGAAGTAACATTGCAGAAACTGAAAGGTTAAACTTTTTGGAACTTTAAACTGCGATTTCAAAATCTTAGAGTGAGATTGTAACCTTGCAGAAACTTCAATCTCAGATTGCAGAAGCATTGCATAAACTGGAATGTTAAGCTTTTGGCGCTCTGCGTCGCCGGGGGGGGGGCCCCACCGCGGGTCCCAGGCATCCGCGCGGAGCGCCAAGAGCTCATGTCTGCGGATCCACGAAATCCGCGCTGAGCGCCAATGTCCATGCCGCTTTTCTGCGTCGAGGCCTCCATTTGGACGCCCGGAGTGGGCACGGAAACAATGAGCACAATGCCCAACAGCAAAGGTTGGCCCGATTCAGCAGCGGCCGCCCTTGGGCAGGCGGCCTTCTGTCTCCAATGTACACAGGCCGCGGCGACACCGACAGCGAGTCCTGTTCAGATCGGGTCGGGCGAAAGGGGGGATAGCAAAGGGGGGGGGGTGATAATCAGCTCACGTGGCTAATTTTCCGGGCGCCTCCCGGCGCCGGAGGCGGCCATGTATCGCGGAATGGGCCCCTCGGTGGGGCCGAAACCAGCTACATGCAGCAAATTTCATAACCCCCCCTTTCCCTATCCCCCCCTTTCGTCCGGCCCGATCAGGATGAGCAAGGAACTGCCGCTGGGCCTTCTACCCATTCTTGCCGCACCCATGCCGGTCGTCCCGAGACTCCAGGACGAGCAGCGGTGCATCGGCACCTGCTCCTCCTCCCCCCCCGGGGGACCCCCCTCCAGCCTCCCCCCCCCACCCCCGCGCCCTCGAGGGGGCCGGCACGCGCTCCCGCCGGCCCCGTGGCCGGCCTCGACGGAGCAAAAAAGGGCCCCGCGGCGGGGGCCCCCTCCGGAGGTCGAAAAAAAAAAGCGGCGCGAGGCACGCCGCGCGAGGAGGAGCCGACCAGCCACAACTGGGGGAGCCTGTGGTCCTTACTCGGGTCGGGCGAAAGGGGGGGATGGCAAAGGGGGGGGTTGAGAATCAGGTCGCGTAGCTGATTTTCCCAGCGCCTCCCGGCGCCGGGAGGCGCCCATGTATCGAGGAATGGGCCCCTCGGCGGGGCCGAAACCAGCTGCATGCAGCATATTTCGTAACCCCCCCTTTCCCAATCCCCTCCTTTCGTCCGGCCCGACTTACCCGCCCCTGGGGGAGCCCGTCGCATCGACGACCTCTCGAGAGGGGTGTCGAAATCGATGGGTCCCCCAGGGGGGTAAGGATCACAGCTCCCCCAGGTGTGGCTGGCCTGAGGAGGGCCGGAAGGGGAGGAAGTGCGTTCCACGACTCGCAGAGTAGCCACTCGCAGATGGCCGGGGTCCATTGCATCGAAGCAAACAGGCTCCATTGCCACTTTGCGAGCGGTGGATCGCGCGCGGTGATGAAGGGGAGAAGTGCGGAGAACGCAGAGCTTTTCGCGTCGTGAAAGACACGACACGCGGCCTTTGCCAGGTGTCGGCCTCTGGGGGCTCTTACTGGGCCCCTGGATAACCAAAGAAAAAGCCCTCGGCGAAACCCAGGGAAGGTGTCGAGACGTCCGGAGTCGTGGGTGTGGGGGGGGGGGGGGGGCAGATGATGAAAAGGGTGCGGAGGGGGCGGAGGAACAGAAGGCAGGGCGGAGGGAGAGGAGAAGAGACCAGGGCAAGGAGAAGGAGGGCCAGGAGTGGCTGAAGCAGCAGGGAGGACAACAGGGGTGGAGGAGGATGGTTGGACACAACTTGTAACAGGGGGATGATGTACTTACAAGCAGCCGGAACATCGTAGCGCGACGCGTCAAACGAAGAGGATACGGTCAGGGAGGATGAAGGAAGTCGCCGAATGAGTGAGACAGGCAGCGCGAGGCAGCGGCGAGAGTCAAACATCCACGGTCCTCATGCCCCTCCGGGGACCGAAGGGACGATCGGGCACAACCCGGGCAGTCCAACCCTCCTCCACCCCTCATCCGCCACCTGCCTCCTGCTCCGCCTCCCCTGCCTCACCATTTACCCTCCTCTTTCCTGCGGATGACGAAGCAGGCACCCCAGGACACCTCATTCAAACCGAAGACGGTCGATCAGCAGCGGCATCATCACAATCTCCTCTGCCGCCTCCTACTCCGCCTCTCCATTCCCCTTTTCCCTCCCGCTCCTTCCCGCCTCCTCCTCCGCCGCCTCCATTACCGCCTCTCAAACCTCTCTTCCTTCTCGTTCCCCGCCCAATACCCGTCGGTCGGAAAAAAATGTCACGAAACAGAAAGTAGGAAGGCGTTGATCGTAGACTGGGTCTCCGCACGCCCCCTGAGGACGAGGGTGGAGGGCAGACCACTCCAGTCTTGAAATAGGAATGCTCTACTCTGTAAGAACGGTTTTTTGAAGGCAGATCTGCCTTCAATGTAATAACGGTTTTTTGAAGGCAGATCTGCCTTCAAAAAACCGTTCTTTTGAAGGCAGATCTGCCTTCAAAAAACCGTTCTTACAGAGTAGACCAGTCTTTCCTCCAGCCAGGTAGAGTGCGACTCCAGTCTTGAAGTAGGAATGCGCCTAAAACAGATCCGAATCTGACCCCAAGGAAGACCTACTCTCCACAACCGACGCGCACTGCCTCTTCGGCCTTGCCCTCCTCGCTCCCCGTCCAAGAAGCCTCTTTCTCTCCTCCTCCTCCTCCTCCTCCTCCTGCTCCTCTTCAGTCCTCACCCCCCCCTTCCTCCTCCACCTCTTCTCCCTCAGATTCCTCCTCCTGCTCAGCATCAACATCATCATCATCATCATCACCATCATCATCATCATCATCATCATCATCATCATCATCATCATCATCATCATCATCATCACCACCACCATCATCATCATCAGCATCAGCATCATCATCAGCATCATCATCGCCATCATCACCATCACCATCATCAGCATCATCAACATCAGCATCATCACCATCATCACCCTCGTCATCATCGCCACGACTATCATCACCTTTATCATCATCACCACCACAAATCAACATCATCAACATCAATATCGCCATCGGCATCGTAATCAGCATCAGCATCAGTAGCATCAGTAGAATCAGTATCAGTATCGTCAGCATCGTCTGCATCAGTATTAGAATCAGCATCATCATTATCACCATCACCATCATCACCGCCATCATCAACGTCATCATCACCACCACCACCTCATCATCATCATCGGCATCAGCATCAGCATCAGCATCAGCATCAGCATCATCATCATCATCATCATCATCATCATCATCATCATCATCATCATCATCATCATCATCGTCAGCGTCATCATCATCATCGTCATCATCATCAGCATCCCCATCATCTTAATACTCATCATCATTATCATCACCACCATAATCATCACCCATCATCATCATCATCATCAGCATCATCATCATCGTCATCATCATCATCATCAGCAGCAGCATCATCACCACCACCACCACCATCATCATCGTCATCCTCATCCTCATCCTCATCCTCATCCTCATCCTCATCCTCATCCTCATCCTCATCATCATCATCATCATCATCATCATCATCATCATCATCGTCATAATCATCATCATCATCAGCATCAGCATCATCATCATCATCATCATCATCATCATCATCATCATCATCATCATCATCATCATCTTCATCTTCATCTTCATCCTCATCCTCGTCCTCATCCTCATCCTCATCATCATCAACAACATCGTCATCATCATCGTCAGCGTTAGCGTCAGCGTCATCATCTGCCGCCTCCTGTCCCGCCTCCTCCTCCCCGCCACCTGGCTTCTGTGTTCTCCCTCCTTTCCCCCGCATGCGTCCTTCTTTCCTCCTCGCGCCTCGCCCTCCCTTCGGCAAAAACGCCGCCGCGTGCCGCGCCCTGAACGCTTTTCAGCCCGACAGGGGTCCAATCTACCACGCCCCTCGCAACACCCAGACAGTTTCCAAGGGGAGCAAGAAAAGCGTTCCCCGATACTTAGTCGGTACGGGGGGGTGCATGGGGGACGGGGCAAAAGGGGGGCCCGTGAGGCCCTCGCTGCAGCCAAGCCATGACCCACCGGCCGCCAGATGGAGAACAGAGAGAAAGCTCAGTGGCTACTGCACGACTTGCCATGGCTCCGCACAGCGAGAACGCCGGCGCGAAACAGACCGTGTGACCCGAGTCGGGCAAGAGGACCGTGGCGAGAGGCCCTGTTGGCCTGTGCTCAATGCGCACTGTCACGCCCGGGGCCACATCAGATATCACCGCGTCCTCGCCTGGTAGTCCACAGTGGCAGCCAAGGGCGCGCCCAACCTCGCATTTTCTCTCGCCGCCGCCCGTTCCCTTTCCTGCCTGTACTCGTCCTGGAAGGGGGACATCATCCGCCGGCCTCGCTGTGGCCACCGCGGCATCACGGACGGACGCAATACACCCCGCACTTCCAAGGATGGGATGCAAAGAAGACGATGACAACCACCAAGGCACAGAACTTGGGAGGCGCGTTAATGGGGGGCGATCAAAAGGGGTCCTCTGGGGCCCCTAAAGGGGGCCCTTCGGGTCCAAAAGGGGGCATTTCGGGGCTCAGAAGAGCACCTTCCTCCCCCCCCCCGTTTATCGCCCCTCATTAATTCGCGCCCAAAGGACCGAGCCAGGAACTGTGCGGGTCCCAAGAGTATACACCACCACAACCTCCAGTTCTCTTCCCTCCACTACGCTTTGTTCCTCTCTTTTTTCCCGGGAGAGGGAGGTGGTGAGGGAGGTCGTGTCTTTCTTGAGCTCCGTAAGCTGTCGGAAAAAACATTGCCGACCAGACGCATCTTCCAGCAGTCAAGACAACAGGCCAAGAACTCGGAGCGGCTTCATCGTAGGCAGATCTTCGCCCGTCGAGAGCGGGGACACCAGGAGGAGGGTAGGGGAGGGAGGTGAGAGGAGGAGGTACGAGGAGGAGGAGGAGGAGGAGGAAGAGGAGGTGGAGGAGGAGGAGGAGGAGGATGAAGACGAGTAGGAGGAGGGGCAGGAGACGGAGGAGGATGAGAAGGGTGATGATGATGAGGAGGAGGAGGAGGAGGAGAAGCGGGAGGAGAAGGGGGATGATGATGATGAGAAGGAGGAGGAGGAAGAGGAGGAAGAGGAGAAGGAGGAGGAGGAGGAAGGGGAGGCGGAGGAGAAGGCGGAGGATGAGGGGGAGGAGGAGGAGGAGGGAGAGGAGGGGGAGGGGGAGGAATGGAAGGAGAAGGAGAGGGAGGAGGGGGAGGAGGGGAGGAGGAAGAGGAGGAGGAGGAGGAGGAGGAAGAGGAAGAGGAGGAGGAGGAGGAGGGGGAGAACCAGGAGCAGGAAGAGCAGCTGGAAAGCGTCCACGGTATAGGGTATCGCCGCCCCTCCGCCTGCGCCTCCTCCGTCTTGGGCAGGCGGCCAGGCCCTCGAGACCGCAGAGTCGGGTCTCTTCCTCCCTCCTCCTCCTCCTCCTCCTCCTCCTCCTCCTTCTCATCCTCCTCCTTTTCCTGCCCCTCCCTCCTCCTCCTCCTCCTCCGCCTCCTCCGCTCCTCCTCTTCTTCCTCTTCCTCCTCGTCCTCCTTCTCCTCCTCCCGCTCGCCCACTCCTCTGTCTCCTCCTCCTCCTCCTCCTCCTCTTCCTCCTCATCCTCCTCCGCCTCCTCCGCTTCCGACGCCTCCTCCTTCTCCTCCTCCTCCACCTCCCTCTCCATTGCGAGCCATCCTGGCAAACGCTCAGAAAGTATCCAAGGCCCGCTCGCACCATTGGTCGCCCTGGCGCCTCCACGCCTCCACGGAGGCCCCCATGTGTGGGCCTACTCGAGATGGCGGCAGCCCTTCGAACGATCTTATAATCCATCTTCGTCCACACCGAGCCGTCGTTCCACTTGATGCCCTTCTCACCCTTTTTGCTAAACCAAGTGCCCTTCAGCTTCTTTTCCCCCTTTTCCTCGTCCGCATAGACGATCGACGCGACGACGTCCTTGTTAGAGTACTCGATCAGGCCCGTCCACATATCTCCACCTCGACGCGGCCGCAACGGACAGTTGGGGCAAGGGCCGATCGCGAGAGGCCCCGAACGCTTGGACCTAGCCTCGTCGTCCTCGCCCTTCTCCTATGCCCCTCACAGGCCACCGCGACCGATGCCACTAGCAACCTTTGCGCTGCATCTCACGCAGAGATGCTGAAGTCGGCGGCGGCACCCGGCGTAGGGTCGGCGCGAACGCTCCCCGGCGCCGGGCGGCGCCGGGTCGGGCGGTGCCGCCCGCTGCACGTCAGCACGAGCGCTGGCCAGACCCCTGCGATGGAGCAGATGCCTTTTCTGGCCGCTGGCCAGCGGCGGGGCAGGACTACTCCAGACTTCGTAACAAAGGGTGGGGGGTCTCATTTCGGGGGGGGGTCTTCTCTTCCAGGCCATCTTGGAGGGCCTGGGGGGGTCTGGGGACGGTGTTTTGGAGGGTTCTCCCACGGGGGAGGTCTGAAATGGCTTGTCTTGGAGGGTCCAGACCCCCTCCCTTTTATTACGAAGTCTGGAGGAAGCACACCAGTCAGCGACCGATATGGGCCAGGACACACCCCCTTTTGGCTCGTAGCTGGCATCGTTCCGGCGCAGCGAGGCCCGAGGCCACACCGACTTCGGGCAAGTGCCCACGCCTGACGAGTCAATGGGATCCCGCACATGCACGATACCGCAGATGCATGGAAGATGAAGGGAGGCACGGACTGGGATGGGGTATGGGCAAACTCTGTCCTGGATTAAGGACAGCATCAGGTGTACACAGACGCTACTTTGAGTTCCCTGGGGTTTGTGCCTTGAGACCAGTGCTTTGAATTCAAACAGCCTGGGTAACCCCTTCCAATGAGAGAAACGCTACCTCTCAAAGCGAAGCGGTCCCCGGTCGACCCTTCTGTTTCATCTGCTAAGCCATCAATCGTGCCCCTCCTTTTCCCCCCCCCCCCCCTGGACATGACATGGACACGAGGCGCGAAGGAAGAAATCACACAGCCCCACTCCCTGTGACTCCGCCGCCTTGTGAATCACGCCCTCGGATGTTTCCGAAGCCACCGTCGGCGTTGATCGTGCGGGTGCAGTCCTCGCAAGGGTACTTGTCGTCGGTGAAGGAGCCGTCGAACTTGTCAGTCGACCTGGGATTGAACGATGCAAGCCGACCGACGATTTCGAACCAATGATGACTGTACGAGCGCGCGTCCCGTACAGTCAACCAGTAGAATAAGGACGCCACGATAAGGATGCAGGGGCCTTGGAGGGCCACGTCGACACTTTGCGAGCGGGGCGCGGCCAGCGAGAGCGGCCAAGGCTGGACCGAATGAGGAGATGTAAGGGTAGCCTTGGGAGAATTGCTCACACTTTCTAATTCTTCGGGTTGACTGCACGCAGCCTTGCGCCCTCCTCGAGTTACTCATCCCCCCCTGAGGGTGTTGGTACAGTCGGGGCGTTGACCTAAGGAACCCTAAATAAGGAACGAGGCCCCTTTTTTCCATAAGTTAAACTTCCATTTCCCATCGGAAACATAAGGACAACCTGAGGCAAGCTGTGAAACACTTGAGGAACGCGGAGCCCCTCCCCAACGAAAAGGGTTCCTTCTTCAGGGCCCCGACTGTCTTCGTCCTCGTCCTCGCCCGCTCCCCACGCGTGGCACGCTCGAGCTGCCCGGGACCGTTGCGGTCTGGGGCAGCGCCAGTCGGGGCCCCCCGAGGCGCGACTCTGCAGCTTGAGCAGGGACGGGGCTGTCCCGGCAGGTCTGTAGGGCAACCACGAAATTGCCTCAGAACCTGACATGTGCGAAGAGCAGGAGCAACGTTCCTGGGACGACATCCCGGCGCATCACATCAGCACGGTCTCAGCCAGAAGTGTTCCAAGAACGTGTCGTGCAAACCACCCGAGGTTCTCAGAACCCTCTTTGGTGGGCCGATGGGCAAAGGTAAGCGAGGACGCTTCGCCACTGCTTGATTAGTAACCCTGACTTTGTGGATGCTATTATTACGGACAGCCTAACAGGCCTATCATTGAATGATACATGTGTTTAGAGTGTTTGAACACAAGTTCTAACAATGTGTGAAGCATGTGTCTTATAAGTTGAAGGCATGGTTAATACATGTTGCTTTGACATCTGGAAAATACTTGGCCACACGCTTCCTCTCTCCATTGATCGACCTCCATAACCCTGTCTGCCCCCCCCTGCCTGCTGAGTCGGGGCTCTGACACCCCTCCCCCCCCCTGGCGGCACGACCGGGACGAGGGGGGCACAGCCGACCGCTGCAGGCCCTCCGGTGTCCTCGCGCAGAGGCGGCCAGAACCCCCCTCCCCCTCCCGAGCAAACACCCACGCCTGCGCTCTCGAGGGTGGAGACCTGGACGCCCGAAATGGATACAGTGGGGGCCAGTCCTTGGTGGGCCCTGGAAACGACAGGGCCGTTTTTGTTACCGGTTCAGTTCTGCCGTTGTTTTGCCACTTACGACGCCGTTTGTTTGCCGGTTCCGTCGCCGTTTTTTTACCGGTTCCGGCTCCGGTTCCAATCCTGGGGCCGTTTTTTTGCCGTTTTCGGTCGCCGTTTTTTTGCCGTTTCCATTTTCAAAGGACATTTTTTTGGAAACGGTGAAAAAACGGCCCTGCCGTTTCCGGGGCCCACAAAGGACCAGTCCACAAGAAGCCTTCCACAAGAAACCAACCCTGAGACCCCTGGACGTCTGAAATCTAAGGAGTCAACTACCCATTCGGGTAGTCTTCGTCGGAAGGACTAAGGAGGATTAAACCCCACGGGGGGCCTGCTACGCAGGAGTGGGCCTCAGATTAGGCGGGATTAAGCCGGATCAGGCGGGACTAAGCCGGATTAAGCAGGATTTCGGATTAGGGCAAAATCTAAATTTGACCTCCCAGGAGTTGCATCCGAAGAAATGGGCACGGACATAATTGGCACAAAGCCCAACAACAAGTGTTGTCCAAAACCGACAACGGCCGCTGTTGGGCAGGCGGCTTTTTGTCTTCAGAGAGCAACGTCCGCAGCGGCGCGGACAGCAAATCCTGTTCAACATAACGAGGAAAAACTATTGGCCATCGTACCCATTCTTTCCGTTATCCATGTCGATCGTCCAGACGAAGACTCTCGTCCTCGAGAGGATCGCCCCTGCGACACGCTGAGCCTTCTGGGCGGATCCCGATTCTCTACACCTCTGGGCGTGAGAGCCGCAGCCCCTGACTAGAGGCCTCCGAAACGGGGTCCGACTAGATGGGGTCGAAGGATCGCGCCGCATCGCCGATACTCGGGCCGGGCGAAAGGGGGGGATAGCAAAGGGGGGGTTGAGAATCAGCTCACGTATTTCGTAACCCCCCCTTTCCCTATCCCCCCTTTCGTCCGGTCCGAGATACATCGGCGATGCATTGGCGCTGCATCGGCGATGCGTCGGCGATGCACCGGCGACCGTTTTTCTTTCCTCCGGCGCAGCGCTCGTCACCCGGGCCAACCGCCGCCCCGGGTAACGCTGATGATCGTGCCGTGGGCAAGGCCCCCGCCCTACATGCTGGGAGCGGGCCCCCCGCAGGTGTGGCGCTCTGCTCACAGGCACGGCGTGGTCTGGACGGCACGCACTGGTGCTTACAAACATGTTGTGGCGCTCCACGTCGTCGTCGTCGTCGTCGTCGTCGTCATCGTCGTCGTCATCGTCGTCGTCGTTGGTCGTCGTCGTCGGTCGTCGGTCGTCGTCGTCCAATGCAGCTGGCGATGGTTCAGCTTACGCAAGCTGGTTCGACCACTCGTCCGCAAGTGCAAAATGTGGCGGCTCTCTCTCTCTCTCTTCCTTCTGGCTGGTGCTCGGTTGTAGTGCGATCAGTCAGCGCGCCTAATAAGGACGCGCGCCTTCTCCAAGGTACCCTTGTGTCCTTGCCTCTGCGGCCTGTCCTTTGCCGCTTTCTTTGGCCAGCTTTCGCAAACAAATCCCAATTTCGGCTTCCAAGGGTCTTTGCGTCATTGCCACCCGTCCTTAATGCACGTGTTGATTGTAGACCTAGCGCAATGGAGAAGATGAAGACTGGGCGGCCCCGCACCTTCTCCCGCGGGTGCTGTGGTGTGCGCAGGCGCTGTGGTCCACGCAGGCAGCGTGGTGCACACTGGCACTGCGTTGTACACGGCTGCTGCGGTGTAGCAGTGTGGTGCACGCAGGCACTTTGGTGTACACCGACGCTGTGTTGCACGCGGCTGCTCTAGTGTACACAGGCGTTGTGGTGCACGCGTGTAGAATCCTCAGGCGCTCCAGTTTCCATGGGGATTATTTCAAATCGTGTATATCAAACATTCGATTTCTGTGGAATCCAGAAGCGCCCCAATTTCAGCAAGGATTCCTTTATCAAACAAAAGCTTTTCTGTTGAATCCAGAGGAACTCCGTTTTCCACAGCGATGACTTCCAAATGTTATAGAAGAGTGGGGTTCTTTGGAATACAGATCCCATGGGGTACACTTCAATAGTCAGATTATAAAACAACGGTGGTCTGTGAAATCCTATTATAAACAAAGGTTGCTGCAGTATACACAGGCACGGCGGTGTGCATTGGAGGCGTGGTGCTGCAGTGCATGCGGCTGTTGCTGTGTTGCACGGAAGTATTGGGCATCGTCGTGTACACAAGCGATTAATGCGCCAGCAGCGCGGGCGCACCCTGGCGGGCACACGCCGCGGCCGCCGTTACCGTTACCCTTCCGCCTTCCCCCCCCCCGCTTGGGTAACGGCCGCTACCCGGGAAAAAAAAACAGTCACCCGGCGATGCATCGTCGACGTCGGCGATGTATCGGCGACGTCGACGTGAAGCAAATCGGGATCCACATCGAGCCGCATCGGCGATGCATCGGCGATGCGTCGCGATCCTCCGACCCCATCTGCTCGGACCCCATCTGGGATCCCTAGACTGACCCAGGCTGGGGTGGAGGGACGTGAAAAAGAACCGTGCGTGCCCACTCCTGGCCGCCGTCGCGGAGCCAATGCCGTGGGAACACGCTGGACCACGACGCGTTGCAAAGAAGAGGGGGGCGGGGGGCTCTCGGCCGTCTTGGCGGAACCAAGGGTGGAAGCACGCAAAATCACAGGGCGTTTCCTTGGGCTCTCGGTTTCCACGCTTGGGACGGCCAGGCAACCCCTGGAGATAATCCCCCCCCCCGCTGTGCAACAACTCGTTGTCTGGGGCCCGCGATGGCTAACAAACTTTTCCGTCAGACGATCGAGCCTCGAACAGAAGAGCCCCCCCAAAAAAACACGAGGCCCTCCGCCGCGCAAAACGCAACGAACATCAAAGGGCCCCCCCCCCCCCGGGCGCACAAGAAACTCCAACGAGCACGAGGAACATGAGGATCCCTTCCCCGAACCGACCGCAATCGTATACCTCGGCCCGACTGTCACATCCGCCAGCAAGTGGATGTTTGAAATATGGCGTGCGACATGTGCCCCGTGAGTCTCAGGCATCCGCCGTGCCAGTGCACAAAACGATACAATCTCGGGCCATGCCGCCGCCCCGTGCCATCGGAGGCCCGCGCCTGCAGGCGTCCGAGAGCCCAAAATTGGCGGCGGCATCTGCGGGAGGTATCTGATCTCACAACCGAAACCTTTTTTTTCGCGAGCCTCGCGAAGGGCTGCGGGGCGCAGCAAATCATATCCTTCTGAAACATTATCAGGCTAGGAGGCGATATGACACGCACTCCTCCTCGGCAGATGTCGCAAACAGACAACTGACGGAAACACGAAATCGCGCCCCAGCCCACGCGGTATTGTATCTCGATTCCCAACCTGCTGCGGGTTATGGTCGGCGTCCCGGCGTCTGGCCTTAACAGGTCGGTTTCAATAAATAGAAACCCTGTTCTCTTCACGGCTTCGAGCTGCACGATTCTCGGCGACGCTCTGCACGTGGAAAATGAACGAAGCATAGCAATCACTGTGAAACGCACCGCTGCTGCAACCTCGCTGCGCCCATGCCTTGGCAAGCCCCTCGCGATCTCCAAGGTCACGGGCAGTCTCTTCACAAGCTCGCGATGACGAGCGGGATCCAGAGCCTTGGTCATCAGATCTGCTACGTTCTCTGCCGTCGGCACCTTCGCGGCGCGCACTTCTTTCTCGGCAACTTTCTCCTGCAACCATAGGCACTTCA